TCGCTCCATGGGACCAGGAGCCGGGGGCCTGGGCAAAGCCAGGGACTGCTGGGGCCCTGCCCTGCTGCTAGGTGGCCAATCCTGCGGCACGTCCTTGGGCCCCCCACAGCCCAAATAACCCCGCCCCTCCGTCCTCCTGGCACCGCCCTGAGCTGCAGGGCAGGCTGAGGGAGCCCCCAGAAAAGCCTGGACCTGCTCCCAGGCCTGCCCCAGCGGGGACGCCCCTGCAGGAGCAACCGGCATCACCCCAAGCGCTGGGCCCAGGGTGAATCCCGCCGGGGGCACTGGCTGGCTGGTGGATCCTCCCAACAGAGCTAATACATCTAATACCCCCCCCACCGCCCCCATAAAACCCAGTGCCCATCTAATACCACCCCCACCCGCCCCGTATTCACCACCATGGCCTGCCAAGGGCCACACAACGTCCACCCCAAATGTAGCCCCCTTGGTCGAATTCCCAGACACAGCCGCCCCCCCCCACGCACTGCACCAGCTCCCTGGGCACCTCTGGTTGCTAAGTAACAGCCAATCAGGACTCTCCTGTAGCAAGGCTGCCAAAGGGGGTGCGGGTTTGGGGGAACCGCTGGAGCCATGCCAGGGATGGAAGGGCAAAGGGGGGCGGAAATGTGTGTGTGTGGGGTGATGTTGGGGTCAGCTATAGCAGAGAGGCTCTGGGAAGGGAGGGTGGGGGGCCAGAGCTGCCACTGCCAAGCCGGGCACATGGGCGGGGGGCTATGGCTCCTGCCCCTTGTCCACTCAGCCGGCACTAGCAGTTGTCAGCTGGGGAGGTGTGGGAGGGTGAAGCTGGCCTGAGTCGGCGGTGTATGGCGGGGGGATGAGGGGGGCTCATGCCCAGCCACAGCTGAGTTGGTTAAACTCAATTCTGCACTGATCTAACACGTGCCCCTGGGGCTTACAGACCCTGCCAGTCCTAGGAGGTGCTGGTAAAAGGGGTGTGTGGCCCACCCCGGGCAATGGGGCATCTCTCCCCAGGTCTGTTCAAGGGTACAGCCCCCCCCCAAGCTATTCTCTCAGGGAGCTCCCAGCCTGCAGTGCTGCAGGGCATCTGCTGGACTCATGGCCACCCTGTTCTTGGGGGGCAGGGGATGTCTTGGGGGGGTTGGTTCCAGAAAGGCCAAGGCCTGGCCCAGCAAAACACCCATGGGTGTGACCCTCTGCCAGGCTCTGCACTGACGCTCCCCCGCCCTGCGCCCACACCGGGAGGGGGGATGCTGGAGCCCTGAGGGATGGTTCATTAGAAGGCTGGTGAGGAGCCACTCTTCAGACCCCTCCCACAGCCGGGGATCGAACCCAGGCGTCCTGATGCCCAGCCCCTCCCCCAATCACTACAAAGCCTCCTGTGTGCTGCTCACTGCATGACATGGATCATGGTTCCCGTTTGACTCTGATGTCGTTTGGACCTGAGAATCCCTCCCCCCCACACCTCCTCCTCTAAACGTTGTGCAGTGGTGCTGTGCAGTTGTTATAACCAGCCCGTGTCCAACTCCAGAGGCAGCTGCATTTTACTAGTGTGTGTGTGTGTGTGGGGGGGTGCACTCTATATAAACAGCTGCCATACCCTGCCCCAGCATGGCTGCATTGTAGCAATGATGGCCTGATCCCCTCCATAAACAGCGGCCATGCGCAGCGGTGGCTGCGTGCTAACAGTGGGTGCGTGAGCTCCGTGGAGCCAGCTGCAGTACCCCACCGCAGAGGACATGCCCCACTCGCCTACGCCTATTCCCTGCACGGTGACTAGCGGCCTGGGAGACAGGAAGGAGGTGGTGGGTTTCCTACTGTGGCCCAGGTAGCCCTGTGCCGTGCTGCTGTGTTGGGAATCCAGGTGGCAAAGAGGGAGGCAGAAGGGACCCTCCCCCCTCCAGGCCTACAAAGAGGCACTTTAACTCCCCCAACACACACACACACGAGGCGCAGCAACAGGCCCGACCCCAGGTCAGCTAAGACCAGGAAACAAACAGCAAACGTGACACAAGCAATGACCCAGCGACCAACAAAAAATGTTCTAAGAGATGGGGTGGGGGGTCAAGGGGGACAATCAGACCAGAAATATAACAGAGGAGGGACTGAACTAGCGACTAGGACAAGAGGACTTGTACACTGGTTTGGGTTTCGCAGCTGGTGAGGGGAAGAGGGTTTTTCGTTTATTTGGACCGGGGATTTCACCGAACGAAAACTACTGTCCACTGAGACCACCAGCAAGAGAAAAGACCTCACGGCACAGCCAACCACCGCTACGGCACAGGGACGTCATGCACTCGCTAGCTCTGCTCACATGACGTGGAGCCAAACACCACCAACCACAGGGGACAAGGAAGCGGAAGAGTCCCGCGAGCGAGATCAAGATACAACACTTCGGTCGGTCCAGCGGATGCAACTTACAAGGGGGCGGAGCTACGGCTCTTGTGACAGCGAAGGATGGCTAGCGACAGAGGCGTCTCAAGATATGATTGGTAACCCTGCCGGGGTGGGGGGTTAAAGCAGCAAAGAAAGAAAACGGGATTTGGGATTTTTTTTTGTTTTGTTTTTTGGTTTTAAATAAGAAAAGGGAAAAGGTCAAGTCAGCTCTGTCTGTAAATCACCTTGTTTCTTACACAGTAAAAGAGACACAATATGGTTTGTTTCGGACCATTTCCCCCCCCCGCCCCCAAACCCCTGCCCTGGGGATGTCACCGCCGGGAACTGCTGTGTTTTGCTCTGTCGTGCGTCCGGGAAAGTGCAAAGCCCTGGCACTGATTGGGGGAGGCCAGGGTTGGGACCCCGTCAAAGGCCTGGCTCGCCAGAGGGCTCAGAGCTTTGATGGGGGGTCTCTCACTGGCTGCTTTGCCAGACGTCGGCCCGGGGGGATCTATTCCTGGTTCCACTGAGCTGTCGGCTGACCAAGACAAGCCACTTCTCCGGGCCATTTCCCCTTTGCCTAGACAGAGCTCGTTGGGGTGGAGGGTGGGGGCTGCCTTTCCCTCTGGCTGTGCAGTGCTTGGCACCTCAGCCTAGGGCTGCAATACAGAAAATAGCACTATCATGGAGCTGGGTGTTTTGGGTCTGTCCCAGTGCCGGGGGCTGTGGGGGGAGGGGGATGTTGGAGCTCGGAGAGGGGCCGATGCCTGCTAACCCTAAGGGGGGGCCGTTGCCTGGCCCCACAGTCACTCGCTGGTCCATGCTCACTGGCCTTCCAATCGCCTCTCCCTGCTAACCCGCTTGCCTCCCTTTACCCCGACCCTCAGCTGGTACCAGGCCTGATGGGCAGTGCGCGAGTGATGGGGCCCGGGTCCTGTGGGTAGCAGAGGCTTGGGGGAGGGAACCTGTGAGCCTCAGCCCCATGCCCCCCCGATTCATGCCCAAGCCTCCTTTTTTCCCAGCAAAGGAGGAAAAAAAAGATGAAGAAAAAAAGAGAACGAGAAAATAAACTGATGGGAAGGAACGACATGGCTGATGGGAAACGGGCATCTTCATGCCACATGCAGCGGGCGTGCCTCATGCCAGCTGGTTGGCTGGTTACCGCACCGGTGTGTGTGGGGGTGCACGGCTCTGGGGGGGGGTGCAGGGCTCCGGTGCTAGCCCGTCCAGGCCCCGGGCACTGCACCCTGTGACCAGGTTGCGCCAGCAGCTCTGGCGGGCGGAGGGAGAGACACAGAATATGGGAGTCAGGGACCTGTCTGAGAACGGCCCTGGGTGAGATGGATAGGATGCTGGGGGAATGGGGTGTGGGCATGCCAGGATCTCGGGCTGGGAGGAGGGACTGGGACCAGGGCGGGGGAGGCCTCCACGCTAGGCCTGCTGTCCGGTGGCAGGGTGCAGGGACCACGCTATCGGCCAGTGGCACGGAGCCCCAGAGCCGGGACCCATGTGCACTTTGGTGGCCTGATCTCACCCCACAGGAGCGGGATCAGGTCCCTGCTTCACTCCCCAGGGGCGGCTTTCTGCCCCATGCTGGCATACAGCTGGAGCAGCCAGGCTCCAACTCCGGCTCCCGGGCCCGGAGCAGGGGAATGAGGCCTTTGCAGGGGCTGAGCTGAATCTGGTGCTAACCGACGGGGGTGACTGAGAGATGGGGTCAGCAGGGGCTGGTTTGTACCCCCGCCCCCACTGCTATCCCAGCCCCGGGCTCCCCCTCTGTGGCTGTCCTCTCCTCACCAAACTGTTTCGGACAAACGTCTGTAATCCAACCCGCCCCGTTCTCCCCAGCAAGCGGCTCTGTCCCAGTGCCCACGTTTCCCCCTGCACACCGAACACCCAGAGGCTGGCGTTTCCAAACACGAGGTCCCAGACCGAGGCACGGGGCATGACGTCAGAGGGAGCTGCGGGTTCTCTGACCCCCAGGCCGTTCAGTCAGGGAGCCCAAGCCTGGCTCGTGTTTGTAAATTTCAGCATCAAGGGCACCCCTCCCGCTACCCCCAAGACTCCTCACCCTGCAAAGCAAACCCCATCGGCTTGGGCAGACTCCCACTGGGGACCCCCTGGTCCCAGTCTGTTCAGCCTAGATCTCCCCTGCCTCCGCTGACCGAGGCCCAGCAGAACACGAGCCCAGACGGTGAAGAGAGAGCACAGGGAGGGACTGTGGCGTTCTCTAGGCACCGAGAAACAAAGGATGGGCTTGCAGAGAAGGGCCTGGGCTGGGACCCAGAAGACCTGGGCTCAAATCCTTCCTCTGCTACAGATTTCCTGTGTGACCTGGTCACATCACTTTGTTGCTCTGTGCCTCAGTTGCTCATCTGTATAATGGGGTCAATAACCCTGCCTCTCCCCCAACTCTTCGTTTGTTTAGACCATAAGCAACTTGGGGCAGGACCTGCCTCTCACTGTCTGTGCAGCACCTGACACAACAGGGCCCTGACCTCAGCTGGGGCCTGTGCAGCACTCGGCATGATGGGAGCCCTGATCTCGGCCAGGGTCTGTGCAGTGCCTGGCACAACGGGGCCCCGATCTCAGTAGGGCCCTGTGCAGCACCTGGCACGACGAGGCCCTGTTCTCAGTCGGGGTCTGGGCAGCAACGGGGCCCCGATCTCGGCTGGGTTCTAAGAGTGAATGCAATGCGGATTACAGTAAATCCTTAAAGAAATGGAGCCTGCCACTGCGACGCAGTTAAACCCGGCCCCCGTGCTGTCCCTCTGTCTCTTTTATGTGCAAAAAAGAAACTCAGGTCAATGACAAAGACGCCACGAAACAAATGAACAAGCAAAAACACCAAACCAAATCAAACCGATGCAGAACGAGACACAACCCCCGTGAGCCGCGCATGGAGAACAGGTATCAGAACAAAAGCAGGATACGTTCACGTGCCACAACACACACAGACACGCACAGACCCCGCCCCCTGCCCCACGCTACGCCGCGCTGGGGGTCTTCACCTGGCTGAGACAGGGCTCTGCGCAGCACAGCCGGAAAGAACTGCTAGCAGGAGGTTATGTTCTTCTTTCTTAAAATACAGGGTGAAAGTCTGTTATACGGATCTCTAAGATAGACGGGGGTGGGGTGGGGGTCGGGCTACATGCACGACAGCTATGGAGATATCGTGCATTATTTGTGGGGGGAGTGGGGGGGGCGCATTATTATCACTGTTATTTTAATGCTTGATCTGGTGGGACTTTGTCATGTTATGGCTTTTCCTTCCACCCTGCATAAAAGCCTTCAGGGTCAAAGCCTGGCGATTTGGCCAATGGGTTCTTTGGAGCGGGACAGTGGCTCATTCTGTGTCTGTGCAGCGCCCGGCGCACTGGGGCCTTGATCTCAGCGGCTAAATAGTAATCCCGTGTGTGCAGGCAGGAGGGGTGCATTTCTGCCCTTTGCTGGGGGGGGGAGCTGGCGCGGCTCCGAGACACTTGGTTATTTGAACGGCTTGATGGACCGGGCAGGGAGCGGCCGGGTGTCAGGGCGCCCGCTTTTCGCTGTCACCGGGA